GGGGGGCCTCAGAGTGGTGCGCCCTGGTTCTCCTTGGAGGGGACATTGGGCTAGGGCTCCTTCTTGACCTGCACCTCAGAGGCCTGGTGGCCATCTCGTTCCCACCCATCCCATCAGGGTCATCAGGGTCACAGAATACTGGGTGCCTTGTGTGGTCAGGCCTGGCGTTTCCTGCCTAGGTCACCATCTCCCTGATAAGTGGCTCCGGAACACTGAGAGATAGAAGTCACCTTCCTGCTTGAGTCACCCTTCACCCTGAGGAAGTCCTGCTGGCTCACCTCCAGTGCTCAGAATCTGATTTCTCACCACTGCTATGGCACACGCTGCCTGCAGCCGCCACCTCCCCCTGCATCAACCTGCCCTCTCAGCCCTCTGATACGAGGCCTCAACCCTGCAGTGCCTCTCAGCCCCAGGCTAGGAGCAGGGTCCTCAGCATGGTCTCCAGAGACTCTCGGTGGCTCCCAGTACCCTCCCCACCCAGCTCCTACCCCTCGGTTCACCACAAGGACTCGGGGACTCTGCACTCTGCTCCCCACTGCAGCCCCCTTCACACCCACAGGTCACCTCACTTCACTGACCTGTCATGTGCGCAGGAGTCCTGCCTCATCCTCCGCTGTACCCGTCACACCCGACACAACCCCTTCATCTGCCCTCCCTCTACTCTCAGCCCCATGAAGGCAGAGGTTGCTCACTGCCATGTCTGCTGTGTCTGGAGCAGAGCCCTGTACCCAGAATTACTGTTGAGTGAGTGAGAGGTGTGGTCAGCATAGGCTGGACACACAGAGGGCAGGACTGATAACCTGGAGAGTGGGTCTCAAGCTGACCAGTGCTGTCCTCTTGGTGGGGAACCCCCAGGAGCCCCAGGCTGATGGTGAGATTCTGATGGACAAGACCGCAGCCACTGACAGGTGTCAGGGAAACCCACAGCAAGGACACAGCCCGACAACTTGTCCTGGAGACCAGCGGGGGTGCAGGAGAGGCTGCCCACCCAGGCTAGCCTTCGAGGGAGGGCCCTCCGGGAGCGAGGGCTGGGGGCTCCAAGGAGAAAAGGCAGGGAGGTGGAGAGCCTGCCTGTTGAGAATGCTCCAGTTGCTGAGCTTCTGGTCCGTGTTGCAGGTGGGCACGTAGTTGTGCAGGTCCACGAGCCGGGGATGGAAGTGCTTCACAATCTCCGCCAGCATCACTGGGGGTGCAGGGCGAGAGGTGAGCCTGGCCTGTCGAGCTAGGACCCCTATTTCCTCCCCCTTCCGTCTTCACGGCCCGGAGGTGGGTGAGGACACAGCGGAGTCCTGGGGGAGCGGTCGCTGGGGCCACGGTGTGGGAGACGGGCTGGGGTCGGAGGTGCTGGGGGGGCCGGGGTCCGCGCCACCCGCCCCAGGGAATGCGGGGGAGGGTAACTGCAGAGCAGCGGGGCTGAATGCACAACGCGGCCCCTCTCCGCTGCCACCTTCTTGTCTCCCCTCCTCTCCCGCGTCCTGCGCGTCCGCAGCGCCCCTCACGCCCTGCTCGGGGGCTTCGGCACTGCGCAGGGAGCCCGGGGAGCTGGGACACTTCGCGAGGCAGCGGCCCCTGCCCGGCCACGCCGCGTGGCCC